TTCTTATTTTCAAACAGTGGGTTTAGGCAAGCTTTAAGGCAGTATTTTCGAACAAATAGGACATAGATGTGAGGTTTTATTGCACGTTTGGTAAATAACTATCAGTAAAGGTAGGAACGGGGTTGAGAGAGAGAGAGAGAGAGAGAGAGAGAGAGAGAACAAGATGACGTCCTGTTATGTAATATATTAGCAATATTTAACTTTTAATCCATTATGTAGAAATGCATACGTCCTGTAAGAGAGTTTTATCAACTTTGTTGTATTGTATACTGTGATATGGAATGTGCAATGTATGCTACGTGTATAAACGGGTGTGATGTAAACCTCATAACTTATTTTAAGTATGCCAATATATATATATATATCAAGCCGCACTGTTTGCCGTGTGATTATAAAGCACTAAAGGGAAACTGACTAAACAGGCAAATGTGGCCACCAAAAATATTTCCAATCTCATTCAAGGGGTTTTCAGCGAGGTTTGCGTCAGGTGACTGGGCAGGCCAAACCACACATAGTGATTCTGTTAAAATCACTATTGTACATCCCTGGCCTGTGGGATGCAGGGTTATAATCTTGGAAAATGAACGGATGATCCCTGTCCCCAAAGATGTTTAGATGTTTTTTACCGATGGTTAAAGGTGCTGGGGACAGAATTTCGCTCGTGGTTCAGGTTTCCATGTACCAATTCCTTAGAAACCAATGCACGCCAAACCATTATTGAAGTGGAATGTCTAGCTAGGAAATGCAGCAAGGTGAGATGATGTTCTCCATACTCTCACTTGTCCACCCACGATGTTAACTATGGATGCGATCATCAGGAAATACAAAATAGCTCCAGTTTTGACCTTCTGTTCATGCAACGGTTCTTGCACCCCATGTCACTCTTCTGCGTCTGTTTATCAAGGTGATAAGTGGTTTCTTCTTCGCAATGTTGGTGTTAATTCCTATAGCATGGAGCTTTTTGTAAACATTTCCTTTTCTTTTCTTAACCTGCAAATTACGCGACCAATGCAAAGCTAATTAGCTGCATGATTCAAATCTCTTGACAGCATAAAAAGGCGCCCATCGTCTGTGGCACTAGTTTTCTTCGGGTGGCCACGTCTTGTTGACTAATGGGCATCACCAGTACCCTCAATCCTTCTGCAAACTCTTCCTACGTACAGGCTGATCAGACACACCATATTTGGCGGTTATCTGGGGTAAATCAACATCTACGTATACCCTAGCGATTCTCTCAGACAAACAATTTCTTTTCTTTCGTCATTTGGGAGCTCCCTTACTTTCACCATAATAGAAACTAGACAGTCAGAAGAGCGTTGCACCTTCCATGGCACCCGTTATGGTGCACATGGTTGAAAATTCGTCACTTTATGAACTGGTCCCTACATTAAAATTTCAGGAGCGGATTTAGGCCGTCTTCTGGGTCTTCCGGAAGACGGTCAGATTTTCAAGTTTACATTGAAAGGTGCCTAATTTTTCCGTCGGAAGACGGTCAAAAATGAAGAACGGATCAACAAAGATAATTTGGAAGACTGTCAGAAAATATCTCTGAATCGCGCCCCTGTACATGGCACATAGCGCACTATTCATACAGATGGTGCAATACTATTGTCACCCCCCGGAAGCTGTGTCGTATTTATCAGCACACAGGCACGCACTATATATCGTACGTCAGCAAGCACTCGCATGATTGTTAGCCGTTTATTGAGTATTGATCGCGTTTTTTGCATGAATATATATGTTCATATAAGAATAAGTGAACAGTTCATCTGAGTTTACCGGTCATCGCTATAACTATTCAAGTTTCTCTTTATTGGAAATGTACTTTTTCACATTTTAGATGGTTTAAAACACATTTTTAAACAATAGTGAGTGAATAATGGCCAGTTCAAAAACGAAATATCGCTAAAACAGATGAACAGATTTCTAATGGAGACGGATTATTTCTTCAATAGAAACTTATATTACTCCCGGTATTCTAGGAAATGTTACTTTTATGAAAGGATATGAAATTCTGTTTGGCAACATCTCTATGTGATTGGCCTCATGAAGCTAGAATCCATTAGATGACTGATAGATGTTCGTTCTAATTAGTAGAATTGGAAGAGCTTTTGGATAATTTATTTTCTTTATATCATTTCTAGTAGCGTCAGAGTCCAGCCAAGGAGGTGATTTACTTGTTTGCGCACGCACAAGAGAGAGAGAGAGAGCGAGAAAGAGAGTTTGTCGCAGTGTGTGTGTGTGCGTGCAAGAAAGAGAGAGAGGAAGATAGAATACGAAATTTAAGTGTCAGCGATACATGTACAATAATCTTGTAACAGACTACAAGCGAACCCTGTGATCAGACAGTACAGTGTGTATGTGCTGTCCATATATCTGGCACACGTTACACGTCAGGCACAAATGCATGTTACACTGCCCTGGCTCTTTTGTTTTTGACATCCGGCTTTGTCAGGATCAGGAAGACAGCACCAGCTGTCAGGAAGGAGTAAGACGTGTGTGTTTGTGCAAGAAGTTATAATGAGATATAACTTCTTGGTTTGTGATAATGATGAGCTCTTCACGTATCACGAACGTCATTCTGTCTGACTTATGTTCTGTTTTACGTGTGGCTCAATCTTGTCAATGGGGAAATTGTGAACTTTTAAAGACAAATTTAGAAAAAAGAAACATTTTGAAAGGCACCGTACTTTAAAAGTCGCAAATGCTTAACATTAATACTTTCCTTTTGAGTGGTAACAACAAAATTAAAAACCGGATACCTAAAAGTTCTATATTCTTTGCAGGAAGTTCACCACAAATTGTTTGTAGATAAATTAATATTATTTTGATTCCTAAATAATGCATCTTTTAAGATTGATATTTTCCCCATCATAGGGTAAAAGGAACTGCGGCATTTTCCTATGTTAATTTTGAATATATTTACTTTTCACTTTGATTTGAAATCAATTACTATTGTATTTTTGTTTTAAACCCATCCATTGTGAATAAAAACGTATATGTGATAATGATGTTTTTTTTAATTGTCTTAATTAATACAAAGCTAAACTGGCGTACGCTTGGCTGTAATCTTGAATTAAAATACTTCATAAAATGACTTTAGAATTTCACAGTGGTAAAAAAAAAAAACATTCAAAAGGATGTATGCTTCTAGATCAAAAAATCCATGTTAACGCCATAATGGGAGTTATAAGTTTTAATACGCATATAATGATAATGGAAGCTTGCATGGGAAAACAAAATTCTGACTAAAAAATATCCGACATAATCATTGACATGAAATGAAAATAATGCAAATTATTATCAAACCAAAAACCCACCTAACAAAAATCATCCCAAGCCTAATTGTTTAGTTTAATTAGAACACAAATCCGTATATAGGGGAAAATTGATCCACGTGAAAGATGCTAGAAAACCCGTAATACATATAGGCCTACCAGTATTACGAAAGAAAAAAAAGTAATATTATTATGGAAATAATTACCGATTTGAGAGTTAAAAAGTGATTTATTATTGCAGCAGTGATCATGGACCTGCATATACTGGTATGACACATTTTTGTAATGCCTTAATTCTTACTTTTGTCTCCAACATACACAAAACGGAGAAAAAAATATTTAACGCTTACACTACTAAAAGCCATTTTTAAAATTCCCGATGGAGACATCAAGATATTTATATTAAAAATATATAAGAAATTTTTATTGATTTCAGATAATAAATTGAAATTTTATCTTTTGGCGTCTATAATATCTGCAAATATTGAAATGGAACGAAATATCCCCCCA